GCAAGGCAAGGTCACAGCAGAGGAAGCCGCGAGGCTGTTCGTAGATAACGTAGTCCGACTGCACGGGGTTCCAGATTCCATCATCTCAGACCGCGACCCTCGTTTCACTTCGAAGTTCTGGAAGCAGCTTTTCGCACTGTTTGGGACTCGCTTAGCCATGTCGTCTGCGTACCATCCAGAGACAGACGGACAGACCGAGCGTGTGAACCAGACTGTGGAGCAGATTCTTCGCAGCATCACGATGCACGACGCAGCCGCATGGGACAAGAAGCTGAGCATGGCCGAGTTCGCCTACAACAACACGCACCATTCGTCCACAGGCATGTCACCGTTCTTCGCACTGTACGGTTAGCACCCCAATGTCCCCACTCGTGTCGATCTCACACTCACAGTCCCTCGTGCGGACAACTTCCACCAGCATCTCACCTTCATTCATGATCACGTGAGGAAGCACCTTGAGCTCGCAAATGCACGCATGGCATGCACCACCAACCGCAGTCGTCGTGAGGTGTCGTTTTCAGTTGGCGACCGTGTCCTTCTCGACAGCCGCAACCTCCGATTGCCACAGGACAGCAAGCTCCGCCCACGTTTCATTGGTCCATTCGTTATTGAGCGCACACTAGGTCCAGTCGCATACCGCCTCCGCCTTCCCGCTCATTTCCGCATGCACCCGTCATTCCACGTGTCTCTTCTTCGACCTTACACCGATCCCAACACCGCATTCTCGGGCCGTGATCGCAATCCACTGCCGGTAGCTGTTGACACCGACGAGCCCGACTACCAGATCCAGCGCATCCTCAGGCACCGTCGCCGTCTCCAGGGGGGTGTCTCTTTCATCGACTTCTTGGTTCGTTGGCGTGGTTACGATTCAGCCGACGACAGCTGGGTTCCTTCGCCCTCGCTCTCTCCCGACAACGCTTGCCTCCAAGCGTACCTTCAGTCTGCAGGCGCCGCGGACGTCGCCTCCTTGGGAGGGGGGTAGTGTTAGCGGGGGATTTACTGTTCACTTTTCTTATCCTTATCTTCCTTGATTTCCTTGTGCCACGTGGCACTCTACTTTTCCTGCTTCTACTTTCTAGTCCCACGAAGTACTTTCCATCATTCGATCTTGCATGCTATACCAACCTTGCTTGTATTCCCCAATATCAATTAATTCTCATTAACTTCTTCCCCTCTTTTGCCAATAGTTTTTTCGCCAAAGACTTCCACCGTGTTTTCATCCTCGACTTAGTCTACCCCGCTATTCTTTAGCGGATTTAGGCCAAGTGGCCTAACACATGCGAGTGAGGTTGCGTACAGTAAAGCGGATGTGAAGTGAATCAAGGTCCGATGTGGTGGAGGCATTCGTCCTTCATCAGATCAGGTGCGCTGCCTGCCTGCCAGCCAGCTCAATGGTGCTCATTTTGTTTCTCACTGTAGCTATCAAGCAGGCAGGGTCCTTCGCCAGCTCGATGACGATGACGTTGGTTGCTGCAGTTTCGTGGCTGGCCCTACCGAAATTGAAAGGGCGAGACGCCATCATCATTAGCCACTGGTTCTGAAACAGTTGGCGCCCGCCACCGTCACTGAAGGAACATCTGCTGGTGCGCATGATTTCCACTCACGTGAAAATCAGCCACAAGATGACTTGGAAGCAGTTTTAGTCGTTTGCACGATGATTCTACCACTTGAAATGATAGCTCTTGCCACGTGAGAAGTAGTCGAATCTCCACAGTTTTTGTTTGAAAGCCTCCTTCGCAAGGCTCTCTGTCCTGTAATCCAGGTGCTGTTTCTGTCCGATCATGACCCCGCCCCATAGCAGCTGGCCCAAATTCCTAAACAGCTGATTCTCCACTGTAAGTCATCCGCACCCGTAACTGTTGGCTGAAACACCCTGCTTTGACTTCGATTGTGCTAAATAAGCGATCAACCTAGTCGGACAGCTGTTCGCAGAGCAAGGTGGGAGTGGAAGCGGGTTGGTTTGTTGTGTTAGATTAAGTATATGTAAGAATGAAGCCGTGAATTGAAGAAACCTGCGCTGTGGGTGTGAAGGATTTACAGGAATTTCGCAATTCATCTACTTAGCTATCTAACGGTAAACTATCACAGACAAGGCCACATATCAGGTGTACGGGCGACACACCCTGCTTACCCGGTTTTCCCCACTCGCCACCCGGCTTTGGCCAGGTGTATGAAAAGAGTGGATGAAAACGCCCGCTATAGATGGCCTACTTCGTCGGAAGGTTCGGGCCCTCGATTTTCCAGGGAGACGCCAACGAGGTGGATAAAAATACTTTGTGCTAGATACAGCTCGGTTTAATACGTACCCACTGCGGTGTCGTGCCTCGTGTTCCCAGAATGTCAATGGGGCTATGAACTCGCTAGATCACGTTACGTCACCCGACACGGCTTGCGAGCAGGTCTCTTTTCAGGTGGTTCATCATGGTCATATGGATCCACCGATTCCATCAATCTGGTTGGATCTGCTGCTCTGCTGTCATTCGATCTCGCGCGTCAGTTTCAGCTGTCACATGGGCAGACGTGTGCTGCTGATGATGGCAAGCTGCTGATTTTCATCTACAGTGCTGCACTGTGGAGCCTCGTTGCGTGCTGGACGTTGATGCCAGTGACCAAATGGGAGAACCACGTGCAGCATTTGCTTGTGTAAAACAGATACGGCTGGTAGTGGTGATCTGTATTCCTTGTGGGTGACGTTTGGTTAAAAAGAATGCGTTAGTCTGATTTACGCGCCTCAGTTTGGAACGATGAGAGAAAATCGAGGATGCACGATGGGTTGTCGCGCTTCTGCCAGAAGTTTTCAACCACCGACGCATCCAATCTGGTCCCAAGCAGTTTCCGTCGCTGCCTCGATCGTGCCCCTTCCGAACAAGGACACGCCATTCCGTGCCTCCCCAAGAAGCTCCCTCCCAACCGAACTGTAACCAGCTGGCGCTGACTCCAACCAACCAACTAGCCCGTTTCACCCACTCCCAAAACCGCCCCCACCGTCTTCTATATATAACCGAGCCCCACACTAGTCTGTCACTCAACCAAACAGCTTCTGACATTCCAACACATACTTCCCGTCGATCCCTACGAGACCAGCTTAGCAGCTCCTCTCGCTCCCGCTCACTCCACCCGCATTTTCGGATTACGTTTAAAAACAGTCCCCATGGAAGCCTCAGCCAGTGCCGTTCCAGCCCAGCGCTCACACACCCTCCGCGCTCACAGCAAGCGGAAAGCCGAGTCCACCGACGCATCTGCGACTGAGGGTCCTTCCGCAAAGCACTCTTGCCCCAGCCGCCTCTCAACGTCCTCCGCGACTTTCTCCATCTTCGACATTCCCACAGGCCCCCTTCTTGATCATTTCACGCTCGAATCCACCGTCTTGGGCGCCGGCCAATACGGCACCGCCCGTCAGTGCGCCGACAGATTAACCGGCCAGCGGTTTGCGTGCAAAACGATTCAAAAGAGCCGTTTGGTAACGGATGCGGCTCGTAATGAAGTCCGTCGCGAGGTCGCTCTCATGTCCCGCGTCGCGAGCCACCCAGGCGTGGTGGGCCTACGAGCCGTTTTCGAAGACGACAAAGAGGTGCATCTAGTGATGGATCTGTGCGAAGGCGGCGAGTTATTCGACGAGGTTGTGCGACTCGGGAGACTGTCGGAGCGCGACGCGGCGCTGATTTTCCGGCAACTGGCCTCCGGTGTCGCTTTCTGCCACTCGCGCGGCGTGCTCCATCGCGATCTCAAACCCGAGAACATCCTCCTCCACAGATCCGCCCCATCCGGCGCCGTCCCCGCATCCCCCGCCGCCGATCCCGCTCTCGCCGCGCCCCAGTCCCTAGAATCCCGCGGTCTGACCGCGAAGCTCGCAGATTTCGGCCTTTCGATCGCTCTGGATAACGGGCGCATGGGCTACGGTACAGCGGGCTCGCCCTTTTACATGTCTCCCGAGGTACTCACTGGCGAGTATGAATACGCCGCGGATGTGTGGTCTCTCGGCGTGATTCTCTACATCATGCTCTGCGGCCGGCCGCCGTTCTGGGGGAAGACCGACGCCGCGGTTTACGATGCGATTCTGCGCGGGAAACTGGACTTTTCGGGCCCCGCGTGGGCGGGAGTGTCGGTCGAGGCGCGCAGCCTGATTCGCTGCATGCTCCAGAGCGACCCGAGGCGGCGCCCGACGGCAGTGAAGGTGCTGAGTCACCCGTGGGTGCTGCTGCACCTGTACGGCATCCGCGCTGTAAGGCAATCCGCTGTTGGTAGCGAAGCAGAGTCGAACGCGAATCACGTTGCGGTTTCCAATGGCGCAGCGGCTGCTCCTGCTGTTGTTGGCGCTGCGGCCCAGCGCGCTGCTGCGTGCTGACTGACCAGGAGAGGATGACGCGAAGTCGCGGCGCGACCTCCAGAAATGTGTGTTTCTACGAGGCGCGAATAATCGATTAACCACCCCTGTTGAACACTGTGGGGTTGAGGTCAACTGCTTTGACATACATATTGTTTAGGACCTAATTCCTGTACAAAATTCCTCCATGTTCTCAATGGAGCATAACTTATGACGAGCATAATTACTCTTTCCAATGTGTCTCGTGAAAATTTATACTCGCAAAGCAAAAGTTGTGATAACACAAAGACAATAGTTTGCAACACAACACAATATCAGAAACCCCCGATACAATTCCTTCATAATCCGTAAAGCTTCCCATTTGTGCCCATTGCCCAATCTTCTCCCATCAAAGCTTTCTACCTTCCGCCACGTGTTCTCTCCGCGGCGCTACCTCCAACAGTTTTAGTGCGCCAGTAGTGATGATCGGCCGCGCGCAACCGGCGCGTCATTACCATCGCAGCACCATTGGAATTAGTCCACCCGCGTCTCTCACTCGCTAGTATTTCTTCCGCCACCCGCTTCCGCCACCTCCGCCAGTCAGTCAACATCAAAACCTGCACTAGCAACACCGCTATACCGCCGTCGCAACCGTTGCCGCCACCGTCGCAAACCCCTTACGCAGGCGATTCGTAAGATGCGCGTCTCAAATGCCACCGCGACGAGCTCGCAGTTGCGAGACTCGAATGCCGATCGCCGCGGCGAACTCGACGATCGCGGCGAAAGCGCCGCTTGCGCTGCTGCTGAGTTAGGCAGGGAGGGCGTAGGCGGCGGAGGCGGCGGACTAGACGCCGCTGCGGGTAATGCGCGAAGTGGTGGCGGAGACCGCGGAAGCGCGGAGGCGGAGGTCGGGGGAAACGCGGTAGGGCGGGATTGCGGAAGGGCGGAGCTGAACGACGGGGGCGGGGGAGCCGCCGCCCCCGCGGATCCCCCTCATCGTGTTCGGTTCATGCAGCTGCAGAAGTTTCTGCGAAGCTGCGATGAGTCAGATTATAGCGCCCTCACTGCATGTACTCCCCCCTTCCCTCGCCCCTCTTTCCCGCTCCCCGATTCCCCCTCCCCCCGTTCCCGCTCCCCGATTCCCCGTCTCCCCGTTCCCGTTCCCCATTTTCCCCGCCCCTCTTTTCTCCTCCTTGTACCGCTTCTGTCCATGTTCATAGCAGTCACACATACTTAACATTCTTTCCTCCCCCCCATCCCCCACCCCCCACTTCCCCCTTTCCTCCTCCTGCTTGCGGCGTGGAGTCGCAGCCACAGACACCAACGTCCTCTCCCCCTTCCCACCCCCTCCCCCTATCCCCCACGTCCACCGCCCACCTCTCCGACTCCCCCCTCCCCCCTCCCCGCATCCCCATCCCCCCACCTCCCACTCCCCCCTCCAGCGCTGCTGGCCATGTCAGCGTGGGACCGCAGCCACACATATCAGCATCCTCCCCCCATTCCCCCCCATCCACCTTGCATGGTGTCCCTCACCTGCCCTCCAGTGCTGCCGTCCATGTCAGCGTGGGATCGCAGCCAGTTCGCTGCCCACATCCTCCCCCTGTTCCCCCTCTCTTCCCGCCTCCCTCCTCTTTCATGACGTCCCCGCTCCCCCCTGGCCCCCCTCCCCACTCACCAGCGCTGCTGGCCACGTCAGCGTGGGACCGCAGCCAGTTCGCCGCCCACACGGAGAAGAGAGCGCTTCAACTGGGGGCGGAGGAAGGTGAGAGAGAAGGGAGGGAAGGGGAGAGTGAGGGGATAGTTGTGCATGGGTGAGAGAGAGAGGGGGGGTTTTGTGCGTGGGGTTGGGAGTGAGAGGGGGAGAGTGGTGGTACGTGGTGTGGGTTTGACCTTGGCAGTTGGCGGCCCACACGGAGAAGGAGAGAAGAGGGCGTTGGAGGTTGGGCAAAGGAAGGTGGTCCGTGTGACCCAAGCTGTTTTTTTTCCATGCTGACCCAAATCTTCCTTCCGAATCCTCCCTTTTCGCCTCCCTTTTCCACCTCCGCTCCCTCCCCTCCACTTCTGCCCCTTCCCGTATCAGCCCTTGAGATGAAGCGGGTGAAACGGCTGAACGTGCTTGGGATGAGGCGGCAAGCAAGCAACCAGCAGAGCACGCAAGCTCAACCCTTAGAGTCACACCCACTCCCGCCACATGTACATCCACAACCACCACCGTCACACCCGCTTGTGTCACATTCTCAAACACAGGTGGAGTTGCATCAGGGGTTGCAGGGTCAGCCACAGTAAGAGGAGTACGATCAATACAGTTACCCGTACAGTCACACTTCAAGCAACCGTGCCACTTCCCAGCACTGGATTACCAGTTGTTGGTCCTCTTCATATAACAACCTCCTCGGTATAGTCACTGCAGTCAGTCAGCTACACCAGATAGAGAAGGCAAATCCCTTGCAGCGTCCCCTTTAGGAAGCCCTTTTACTCCACATCACTAGTTTCTTATGTTTATATCACATTGTGCATTGTATGTTCCGTTCTGAATGCAGCTGTCTTTGTTTATTTCGTTTAGGTTAAGATAATATTCTTACATTGTGCTTAATGGAAACATACCCTATATAAACGTTCTTCCCAGTTACGGCTGAAGCAAGAATCACTGGACTCCGCTTTAGCGAATATTTTTCCGCTTGGACGGAGAGAGCGCCAAACTGGCTCTAAGCGAAATGTCGACGAAGTTTTGAGAGGAGGCTTCGCCTTTCCTCTTTCGTTTCATCGTGGCTCGGCGATGGGATTGACGAGGGTGGCACGTGGTTTAGTCTGAATGGACAACTTCCTCGCTGACCACCGCCTGTTTGGCGCGCTTCTATCCAAACTGGCTGCATTTGACTCGAGTCGACGCGCAAAACGACAACTGCTGAATATGTACAGCTCAGCCCCGCGCGTCGGAAACTCCAATCAGGTGCACCCGTAGACGGAAGCGCACTGCAACTCAAACACCCTCTGTCCAATTGGCGGCCGAAATGGCATCACCTCCCGAGGCGTCATTTGCCGCGCATGGCGGCACTCTTGTTCTCGTGAGTGACTACTCCCTGACTTGTGACTTGTGTTGTGAGTTGTCGTGACTCTCCTCGCTAGGCACACAAAGCATATTCGCATCATCCAGCAGGAAGCGAAGCCTCATATAGACCTTTAGATTAGCGTCAATTCAGTCAGTTCGCACTTCCAGAGCTGAACATTAACCTTCCCTAGTTTCTCCGCCTTTTTTACACTAGCTCTTATCTCAATCTCCTAGCATCAGAACTGGATCGCGTTTCGCTATCACCTTTTTGTACCGATAGTCGTCACGGTTTGCTCGGAAAATGGCCACCGAAACTCTTTCGTTTCTGCCTGCAACGGACTTACCAACGGTGGCAGCAGCCTCAGCCGCAGGATTGAGTTGCGGATCTTCTAGTTCCCGTATGGAGCCGCCGCGCCGATGGATCGTCCGCGACGGATTTGACAATAGCGATGTTTTGGCGTACGTTAAAGCTTTAACCGGATCCATCGGCAGCAGTCGCCTATTTGGACTGAACATGGCCTTCGACGCATTAAAGCCTAATCGCCCCTCCATCGGCGACTGTTACCGCTTCGGAAGGGAGCTTGGGCGAGGTCACTTCGGCGTGGTGCGAACATGCTCGGACAAGACGACGGGAGAGCATCTAGCATGCAAGACAATTCTCAAGGACAAGATACAGGTACGCGATTCGTCTTCGCCCTTTGAAGATTTATCAGGCTGCAATAAAGTGTTCAAGATCTGCTTCAACAACTACTAATTAATGTATGTATATTTTCGATGGCGCAGAAAGAAGAAGACCTGAGGGAGTTTGCGGCGGAGATGACGACGATGATTCATCTGCACGGGACGCCCGGGCTGGTTCAGCTGAGGGAGATATTCGACGACGACTTGGCGGTGCATCTCGTCATGGAGTTCTGTCAAGGCGGCGACTACTTCGACCACATCGCGAGGAAGAAGCGACTCTCTGAAGGCGAAGCGGCGCTTATCTTCAGGTACAGGACAGGAACACGTTTTCGGGTATAGAAGGCTCGCGATGCACTTTCAGCATACGATCGACTTTGGCTGTTGTCGCGAGTTTTGGAATGATTTGATTTCCGGTTTATCTAACGCTTGTGGGATGATTTGATTTCCGTTGGCAGGCAAGTGGTAGTGTCAGTCAACGCCATGCACGCTAAAGGCTTCGTCCATCGCGATCTCAAGCCGGAGAACATCCTCATCGCGAAGAACGCATCGCACTCAAACGAGGATGTCGAAGTGAAGATTGCGGACTTCGGCTTGGCAATTCCCGTACACGAGGGAAAGGGGATCAAAGGAGTCGTCGGCAGTCCGTTCTACATGGCGCCGGAAGTTATCAAGGGGAAACCCTACGGCGTCGAAGTCGACGTGTGGAGCCTCGGAGTTATCCTCTACACCAGCCTCGCAGGTATTGCCTGCAGATGAATTTCCTAAGTTTCTAATGTTTAATGAAAATTAACGAGTATAATGAAATTATCCGCTATTTTTCTTAATTCCCTAAATCACATCTAACACTCTCGTCCCTCGCTGTTCTTTCAGGCGTCCTTCCGTTTTGGGGGAAGGGTCACCAAGCCGTTTTCACCGCCATCTGCCGCGCTCAGCCGGACTTCGATCGCAGTCCGTGGCCGTTGATCTCCACCGAGGCGAAGCATCTCATCCGTCGGATGCTAACTCTCGACCCGACGAAACGGATACGCGCGTGCGACATCCTCGAGCATCCCTGGATGAAGTCGGCCCACGCGAACGGGGCTCCGCGACGTCGCAGCAGCCTTCTGCGAAAAGTGTTCGGCGACATCTCAGTTCAGTGGCCCGCGAACTTGATTCCCGGAATTTCCGGACTTGGAGGAGCCGCTCCTGCTCCACCTGCGTCCACACCTGCCGATTCCGTCGCGACGAGCGACGACAGCAAGGTGGAGACGTGTTCCGCCAAGTCAGGCGGAAAGGACGCCTCTGTCGCGTCGATTCCGCACACGTCGCCCGCCAAGGACGCTGCTTCGGGAAGCGCGACGGTCAAGGAGAACGCATCGGAGGGACGGAAGGCGGTGGTTCCAGCAATGGTTCCAGCTCCAGTGGTGAGCGGTTGCATGGCGAACGGGGGTGCGGGGAGCGGAACAGCGGCACTGCGTGCGCTGAAGCCCGTTCCGAACCAAGCGAGGGAGAACGCGGGGGTCACGAGGGCGGGTGTTCCGCGTTTCGTTGCGCAGAAGGCTGCATGTATTGGCGCGGAGAATCATCCGCCAGCAGGGCAGCAGGTTCTTCCGGTTGAGTCACCTTCTGCACCTCGAGTCTGCCCGATGGGTGAAATACTTACTGGAAATAATGCGGGTTGCGTTTTTAGCAACGATTCAAGCGATGGGTGTAGCGATTCAACGGGCTACAGTGACGAAAGTGCCGAGGTTGGCGATTTCAGCAGGGACGAAAGTAACCCGAGTCAGCTTCGCGAAGAATTCTTGCTTTCGCCCAGGACTCCGCCTTCGCGCAGATCTGGAGCAGCACAAGAGCGGGAAATTGTTGGTAACAGCCATAACGGTCAGAAGAACCGTCAGATCCAGAACAACCACCAGCTTGCCTACTCCATCGCGCACCCGTTCCCCGGCCTTTACGCGTGTCCCAATTCTCCTAGTTTCACTCCTTCGCCGTCCGCTATCGCCTGCGCAAATGGCGGACATCAGCTGGGCCCGTTCGCCTCTGGCGTGGGGTTCTGCTGGCCCGGGATTTTCAGTCCGCCGGATAACGCCCGCGGTAGCATGTGTTTGCCAGATCAGCAGCAGCAGGCATCGCCGATGTCGCCGCGTCTTCCGGCGCAAGTGGGGTTCCCCGATCTGCAGCCTCTGCCGCCGACGCTCCACTCCTCCTTAGGTTTGGAGTCCTCGTCGACGACTCTACCGCTACCGATGCCGTCGCCGGTTTCGTCGCACTGTTTCGTGATGCCTGGGTCGTCGCAGGCCGGCGCGGCTGGTCCTGATGGGGCGTATCTGGTGACAGTTCCTTCGATCTCGGACGGCATCCCCGTTTCACCGTCCCAGCTTTCCTCGACTGCCACCCTTTCATCCGTGCCGGAGTCCGTCGCGCTGGAGATCGACCCTGTCGCAGCGTGGGACGAGCAGGAGATTGGTGTTGCCGCGTCGCACAGCGACGACAGCGACAGCGACGAAGACGGCGACGGCGACGGCGAATTTGGAGCTGCAGCAGATCCGGTGACGGAGATGGCAGCAGATGCGGTGTTGGAGATGGCTGAAGACGCAGTATCGGAGATGGGAACGGGGACGCTTGAAGACCTGCTGGCCGCCGCCTTGGCGTTCGACTGCCCGTCCAGCAGCGGACTGTCTACTTCCGCGTCCTCCGCGTCGCCCGCGTCGTCCGCGTCGTCGCGCTCGTCGTCGTCGTCGGATATCAGCGCCTCGTTCAGCCTGGGGAGCAGCAAGCTGTCGTGGACCGGCTTCAACCCCCCAGCGCCCCCCCCGTTGCCCTCCCCCGCTCCGCTGCCCACTGCACCCGCGTGGCCGCCCAACGGGGAGGTGGCGCCGCTGCGGCATGAAGTGTCCCTGGATCCGCACGGGACGCCGGTTTTGGAGGAGGCGTGTGTGGGTAGTCCGAGTCCGTCTTCTGGTGGCTCTCTCGTCTCTGGTTTGCTCGTTGCTGCTCCCTGCTCGCCCTCTGCTGCTGCTGGTCCCCAGGATCGTAGTCCAGGGTCCGTTCTGGAAGGAGTTGGAGCATCGCCGGAGAGCAGTTCGCGAGTAGGAGCAGGAGCTGCTGTTGGAGCTGCTTCTTCTGCTGTTGCTGCTGGTGCTGCTGGTGTTCGTCGTCCTCCGCTTCCTTCTCAGTGTCAGCCTACTCGCGGTGCTGCCTCTGCTCCTGTTGCTGCTGGCGGTGGTGTAGTGGCTAGGGGCGGAGAGGGGAAGAAGGTGCAGTCGGTTGGGTGTAGCAGCGGTGCAGCTCTGTTCTCAGGGCCGCTAGGGCTTGGAGGGAGTTCTGGGGCTGGTGCAGTTGCTCTGGCCATCAGCAGGAAGCAGATGAGGTGAATGGAGGAGCAGGGAAGGAGCAGGGAATAGCAGTTGAGAGGAGTTGAGAGGAGGGGAGGATACAGGAGCAGTGAAGTACAGCACAACTGGACATCTGTGTTGTTGACAGTTTTCATCTAGGTTGTGTCAGGTTATTTATTATTAGCAGGGGAAGGTAGCAGACTAGCAGTCAACATTCAGTTGACGTCCTATTTAGTGGATATACAGCGGTCAGTTAACAAGTGTTGACTTCATTATTATTATGGCCATTTTGTTGTCTTGAAACTTTATGCGCATAACTGAAGTACTCAGAGCAAAAGATGGGATCAGGTATCTCTGAATCTGTTGCACTTGACTATAATGGCTGACTGTGGGGTTTCTAGATAAGAATATAGCACCGAATCTAGTCTTCACCACTGTAGTCTGAATCACACAGCTCTCAAACGCGTACTAGATGAGGGGCTGTCTGTCCACCAATCCAGGCCTTGCCACTTGGCGGCTGCGGATCCACCGGTCATCCTCGAGAACATCTCAAGCGTTTGGCAAGGGGAGCAGTAGTCCCCGAAAGGCCCTCCGCCTAGCAAGAGCAACGCAGGGACGGGGGGATTTCTGTTCCCCCATTGCCAGTATTTTTATTGCGCTACTGCCTGATCGCGCAGATGTTTTCCCTTATGCCTTTTCCCCCACTCCTCCCGCTGCTCCCGTTCCTCCCGCTAATCGCCCCAGCCCACCCCACCCTCGCTGTTCCCGCGGTTCCCGCTGTTCCCGCTCCATCTGCTCGTTCCGCTGCTTTTTTCGGTTGCCATCTGAAGCCTGTGCCTTTGCTTGAATACACTGGAAGAGTACAAACTGAACCTCCCTAGAGAGTTTCGAGTCGGTGTTTTCACTTTTCCAAAGCAGATTCCTCTCCCATAAACTGCTTGATGTTGTTGTGCGTTTTTTTTTCTCTCTGTTTTTTATTTCGGAAGCAGGTGATTGCTTACGTCGAGTCGCACTGCTGTGATATAGTTTTCGCTCCGTACGTTTCTGGTGTCTTGAATAAGGGGATAGGTTTCCCTCAAATCGCATCCTCCTCCGCTCACAGTGTCAGGATTAGGGTTTGCCTAGTAGCCTTGTCGGGACGCAAGAAGGCATCCTGTAGTCCTCCGCTCATGTGGGTTATCAAGTTTTCTGAAAGGTTATGTACGGGTCGAAACGTTTCTGAACGATACTGAGCGGTTCTCGCTCCGGAGCCACGAAAGGGGCTCCGGTATGAGAAAACTCGAGCTATGATTCATGGCAAGGTTAGCGAGCCACGCTTCAGAGAAAGCGGAAGGATGTTCGGAAGGAAATGTCGAGTCGTCATGCGGTGCTGAGGAGGACGGTAGTGCTAGAGAGGAGCTCCTTAAGCCGGCGGAGATCCCAAGACAGACGGAAAACTTGACGGAAAGGGAGTCTACCAAGCAGGCGGAGGTTTCGAAGGAGATATCCGCGTTAGAAGGAGAAAGCTGTCAATTTGACGAGTCGGGTGACGCGAAGAAGCAGGATCCCGGGAAGGGAGACGACAGGCCGAAGGAATCTTCGAAGAAGAAGCGGGTATGTCAGATTGTCTATCCAAGGATTTGTCCAGGATGCGTTGTTGTCATGAATATGCTTGGCTGGCGAGGCTAGCCTTAGTGGTTTTTGTTCTGGAAGGTTTCTCCCTGAGACGTTTATTTCACTAGTTAGTTTGTCTTCTTTTCATGAGAAGTGAAGATAGTCCAGTTTTGGCAATTTTGTCTCTCTTTTTCTTCCCTTCCCAGCCCTCTCTCTCCCCCATTCCTTACTCGCCTTCCCTCCCCCCATCCGTCCCCTTGCTCCCGTATGGCTTCCCTTATCTCTTTCCCTTCCCTCATCCCCCCCGCATCCCTCCCCTCTGTCCCTTTACTCCCCTGTTCCAATCCTCGCCCCTACATCGGCCCTTTCCCCGCCCCCCCCCACAACCCCCCGCCCTCCATACACAACCTCCTCCTGTTCTTCCCTCATCTTCCTGCCTCCCGATGCATGCCTGTGTCATAATGTGGCTGCTCGTGTCTGCTCGTGTCATTTCATGCCTGCTCATGTCATCTTGTGTCATCTCATGTCTGCTCGCGTCCTGGCATGTCTTCTCGTGTCTCGTTCCTGCTCGTTTCATGCCGTATCTTCTCGTGACATCTCGTGGCTGCTCGTGTCATCTCGTGTCATCTCATGTCTGCTCGTGTCATCTCGTGTCATCTCATGTCTGCTCGTGTCATCTCGTTTCATCTCATGTCTGCTCGTGTCATCTCGTGTCATCTCATGTCTGCTCGTGTCATCTCGTTTCATCTCAGCACTCCAACAAGACAGCCAAGCTCAAGCAGAGCAAGTTAGATGCCCGCAGGGAGCAGTTCCTCGCACAGGGTGAGTTGAAACGAGAGCGAGAAACGGGAGCAGGATGAGTTGAAACGAGAGCGAGGTGAGTTGAAGCGGGAGCGAGGTTAGTTGAAACGAGAGCAGGGTGAGTAGAAATGAGTTTGATGAGAGAAGGTTGAGCTGAAACGACAGCAGGGTGAGCTGAAACGAGAGCAGGGTGAGTTGTAGCGAGAGGGAAATGAGTTGATGAGTAAGGCGAGTTGAAACGAGAGGGAGGTGAGTTGATGAGAGCAGGGTGGGTTGTAGCGAGAGGGAGGTGAATCCATGAGAGCAGGGTGAGGTAAGGGCCCAGCGAACCGAGAGCATGGCAAGTAACACACCACCATCAACGAAGGTGATATAGCAAGAAAAGTGTTGACAAACAATGATCCCCTTGGATAGGTCTCTGTTTCCGGATTTGTATCTCCTTTTTTTCTTTTTCTTTTTTTTTTACCCTCTGTCCGGGTACCACCCTAAACGTCTCCGTTTTTCTTTACCCTCCGTTTTTTTACCCTGCGTTTTTTTCAAGCACTCTCGAACTGCTGCTTAAGTATATTGTCTCCTTAACCGTCTCTGATCCCCGTTTTCCTCCCCTGCAGTAGCTGCTGCCAAGACCGCAACTCCCAACGTTCAGGGTGTAAAGCTTCAATCCAAAGGCTCAACTGAGAGTTCCAGTGATAGAAAAGGCACGAAATACGCAGGGGAGGGATCGGGTGTGACAGTAGCGGGGGCTCATTCTGAACATCCAGATTCGCATATACTCCCTAACGGCGGTGCATTTGGGAGTGACAGTAGCGAGCGTGACAGGAACGAAAGTGTTGCTGCTGCTGGGGCTCCCAGTTTAAAACCCTGCGGGGGTGTAGCTGGGCCGTTAGAAGAAGCAGGGAAGGCAAAGGAGGCAGGGGATGATCAGTCGATTGATCAGTCGATTGGTGATAGCGTATCCGGTGCAGGATGCAGTGTCTCGCTTGCCAATGGGATTTTGGAAAAGAGGAGAGGCGGAGAGGAGCAGAGGAACGGAGAGGAGAACCGGGAGGGAGACAGAGGGAACGGTGGGGCGGCAGATGAAGGCGGAGGCACGGAGGAAGGAGGAGCGGAGGAGGAAGCTGAAGAGAAGCAGTGGTGGGAGGACTCTGATGATGATGAGGGTCATTCAGGGGAGGGTGAAGTGGGGACGGGTGGTTTGAGGGATGGAGACGGTGTGGTGACTGGTGGGGAGAGAGATAGGGTAGGGAGCGGCGGTAGCAGCACAGGGAAAGCCGCACATGAGGATTCGGGAAAGAGTCGTTGTGAGGAGGGCGGGCAGTTGGAGAAAGCACCGCACGTTCAGGAGGCTGGGCAGTTGAAGGAAGCACCGCAATTGGAGAAGGAGGAGGAGGCTGTGGTAGTTGAAATTCTAGTAGAAGCGAAAGTGGAAGGAACGTGTGAGAGTGCAGCAGCAGCAGCAGAAGCAGCGGGAGAGAGGGAGAGTGCAGGAGAGAAGGGGGAGAGTGCAGCAGTGGAGGGTTTACGTGGGCTAGGCTCTGTAACCGAAGCAATCAGCACGGGCACGGCAGTGGTGGTGGCAGCAAGAGTAGTTTCAGTGAGTGATGGGTCGGAGGAAGGGAGTAACGGGTCGGTCAGTGGCAGCGGAGTGAAAGCAGCAGCTTCGCTAGTGCTGGCAGGTTCTGGTTCGGCTGATGGTGCTTCGGCTGATGGTGGTGCTTCGGCTGATGGTGGTGGGTCTGCTGTTGCTGGGTTTGCTTGTACTGGGGTGAAAGGCGGAAAGAAGAAGGGAAAGAAGGGGAAGGAGGGGAAGGAGAGGAAGCAAGCGGGGGAGGTGGAGGGAAGGAATATGGGAGCGAGGCTGAGAACTAAGGAGATTGGAAGGGGGAGACTGGATGGCGAGTTTAAACGTGAATTCTCTGAAAAACTATGTATTTGCAGTGGGAGGAAAGGTACAGATTCTGCTGTCTGTAGTGGCAGTGACAGCAGGGAGGGCACCGGTAGTAGTATATATGGGGATGCTAGCACGTTTGAGACGTCCCAAAGCAGGTGCGAGTGTGGTGATCGTGGTGATAGCAGCAGTGGGAGCAACGGTGGCAGGGGGGACGGCGGGAGGAAGGAGGGGGCGGAGCGGCAGGGGAAGGGGAAGGGGGAGAGGGAACGGAGTGAGAAGAACGAGAAGAATGGGAAGATTGCGAGGAGAAAGAAGAATGGGTTGGTGAATGGAACGCGCGGGGTTGGTGGTTGTGATATTGTCTCTGGGAGAGTTGTTGAGCTTTATTTGAAGGGGAAAGTGAAGAACAGCAAGAGAAGCGAGGGGGAGGAGGGGAAGGAGAGCGAAGAATGTGCCAAAAATGGGGAGGAGGTTGAGGACATCAGCCAACAGGGAGTGCATCTGGAGAGAACAGGTGGGGGTGCGAAGCGTCGTATGAATGGGAGCCATGCACGTGGGGAGAGGAGCAAGGACGGTCAGGACAGTATAGAGGAAGGCAATAAAGAGGATGAGGATGATCAGAAGCAGGGGCAGCAGCAGCAGCAGCAGGGGCAGGGGCAGGTGCAGGGGCAGGGGCAAGGGAAGGGACAGGGACAGGGGCAGGGCGAGGGCGAGGGCGAAGGCGAGCGGGAGGGCGACGGGGAGGGGGAGGGGGAGGGGGAGGGGGAGGGGGAGGGGGAGGGGAGTGGTGGTGATGAGGAAGATGACTGGGAGGCAGCAGCGGATGCTATCTGCTCAGAGGTGATTGAAATTCTTGAAGAAGGTGTGACTGTGGAGAGTGGAGTGAGCGTGCATGGCGCTGGGAGTCGTGCTCAGGGAGTCAATACCAGCAGTGCTGGCAGCACAGCCGCCAGCACAGGCAGCCTTAGCAGCAGCAGTGGCAGTGGCGGCAGTGGGAGCAGCGGGAACAGTGGGAGTGGGAGCGGAATCGGCAGTTACGGCAGGGGGAAGGGGTGGGGGAGTTCAGGGGGGCAAGGGGGGGTGCATTGGGAGGGTGGATTGCGGCCGGGGGTGAGGATGAACGGACATGTGAGACATGTGAGTCATGGGGCACATGTGAACCATGTGGGTCATGTGGGTTACATGGGTCACATGGGGCATGTGGGGCATATTGGGCATGTAAGTAATGTGTCTCAGGGTGGGTGGAGCGGCCATTCCGACTTATCAGCACCGTCCTATTCTGAACGGTACAACTCCCCATTGTCTCTCTTCCCTTCCCGCAGCACTGCCCCTCCATTCTCCTCCTCCTTTTCCTCCTCCTTCTCCCCATCCTGCTCCTCCTCCTCTTCCACCTCCACCACCACCACCTCCTCCTCCTCCTCCTCCTCCTCCTCCTCCTCCTCCTCCTCCTCCTCCTCCTCCTCCTCCTCCTCCTCCTCCTCCTCCTCCTCCTCCTCCTCCTCCTCCTCCTCCTCCTCCCGTATATCTGATTCCCAAGCCGCTCGCCTCTCATCATCCTCCTTCCCTTCCTCGTCCTTCCCATCCTTCTCCACTTCCACTCTCAGACCAAACCCCACTCTCCCCTCCTCCACCACTTCCTCCTCTCCCTCCTTCTCACCCTCCTTATCACTCTCAATAGGCGGCACTCAAAGCATCGACTTCTGCAACGGGACAAAAATCACTGGTGGGGGGTTGAGACCAGAGTATACATACAATGCAGCAGGCATGGGGGGGAGGGGGCAGTTGCGCTGCCCTGCTGCTGCCTCTCCCGCTGCCGCCGCTGCTGCGGGCGATCGTGGTTGGAGAACGGACGAGTGTGGTTTTGCTGATCTGAGGCGCCTCAAAAGCTCCTCTGTATCCACCGCCGCCGCCGCTGCTGCTGCTGTGTCGTCTGCTTCTTCAGCTGCTGTGTCTGCTGCTGTTGCTGCTGCTGGTGGTAGTGGTGGTGCTGCCGGTGCTGCTGCTAGTGAGCGAGCATGGCGACCAGACGATTCCTCTCGGCCCCCTTCCCTGCCTCCCCCGGTTGCTCTACTCTCCTCCTCTTCCTCCTCCTCGTCATCCTCCCCTTCCTCCTCGTCTCCCTCCTCTTCCTCCTTCTCTTTCTCGTCCCTCAACTATCAAAACCATTACCAACAGCAGCAGCAGGAGTTTGCACGTGCGCCCAGTTTTGCTCATATGGGCGGGAACAGTAACAGTAGCAGCAGCAACAGCACGTGGAACCCACACCACCACTCCTCCTCCTCCTTCTCCTCTTCCTCCCCTCCCTCAGTCTGGACCTTAGCCAGCTTCATCCGGTCCCCTCACAACACCTTCTCCTCCTCCTCCTTCCTACCATCCCACAACCACCCATCAACGTCACCACCATCAGGAGCATCACACTCATCAGACCCATCAGCAGCAGCAGCAACGCCTCTCTGTCCGATCTGTGCAGAGGAGCTCGATACAACAGATTCCTCCTTCCTCCCCTGCTCATGCGGGTTTCGCCTTTGTCTCTTCTGCCACCACCGCATCGCATCAGACGACGGTCGCTGCCCGGGCTGCCGCCAGGCGTACAGCCCTGAGGTAGCTGCCAAGCTCTCCCGCCCGCCCAACCTCAAGCTGCGGTCGTAGCAGCAGCAAGACCCCTCTCCTTGCGCCTCTGCACCTCTTTCTGACGCTTCCTTTCGCAACTGCCGCTCCCTCCTCCCTCTCTCCCATCCCGGCCCCTCCTCTCTGCTGCTCTGGTTCTACGGATGATAGTCGTTACCTTGGCTGCCGCCAAGCCTACAGCTCCTGAGTGAGCCTGAAGCTCTCCCGTTCCCGCTACCTCTTAGCTCCATGTGCTGCTGCTAGCACAGGGAGCTTGGATCTACACTGACGGCTAAGTTCTTTCAACTCTAGCATCGTGTCGCAGCAGTACGGTACCATGTGCGAAAGCTGAAGAAGAGTGAATGTTTGGTACCCCCATATTCCAACCAATATGTGTATTTGGTATTATGGCTCAGTCGTGTCCAGTAGTTTTTTTGTGCACTTATTTTTCGGTTTCTGGATGAATATTTTGCCCCAGTTTTGTTCCTGTGCCAGTCATCTCATTTTGGTAAATCTCTTGTGTCCTCATGTTTTTTTTTTTATCTGTTACGAATCAAATTCTTCCCTTCTTACTGAAGCTCCTATCAATAGAGAGAGCACCAACCATAGATGCGGTTACCAGAAACATACACCTTAGAAGTACACATATAACATCACAAGAGCTCCACCTTGCAAGTGAGAACTCACAAAAAGCAGGCAACAAAATGCAAAATCTGGTGGGTGGTTACATCAGGTAAAATGGTACACGAATTGTGCACCTAGCTTATATTGTGGGGTAAAGGTAACAGCAATACTATTTCAATAAGCAACTCACAAAATTTTGCTGTCTACTTGAAAATACATGTTAATGGCTCTACAGCAACTAGGTCACGCAAAAAGACACCGCCTAAGTGACGACATCCCAGGCATATCCGCCAATCCTGCTGGCCCGCCTGAAATACCACCGCCGTTCAAAACCAAGTCGGCGGAAGAGACTGAACCGGACGCCATGGATACCGGGGCAGCAGAAGCCGGAGCAAACCCAGCAGCACACCCAACCGACCCCCAGCTATCATCGGCATGTCCATTTCCGAGCGTCATCGTCGTGCTGGCATACGCTGCTGTAACAAAGTTACCACACGCCTTCAGGTTGTTGTTCTGCAGCTGTGTTTTCGCCGCCGTTGGTGCTACGAGTGGTAGCGGGGCAGTCAGCGGGCTTGGCTCTGTGTTGGGATGAGAAGGGCCGAGCACGGGGGTTGCATCGGGTGTAATGGGCGTCAGAGCAGGCACTGAGGGAGGCAAAGTCGCCTTGGGCAGATGTGCAGTAGGAGCAGAAGGAGCAGCATAGGGGACTGTAGAGGATGAGGAGGATTGAGAGGCGGACGCAGATGCACAGGAGGAAACTGAAGTGTCGCAGGCAGCTGAAATAGCAGAGAGAGAAGCGGCAGGAAGAGCGGAGGTAGCAGCAGCAGCAGCAGCAGCAGCAGGAAACGCGGCTGGCGGAAGCTGGAATTCTCCGGAAGTGGGCTGGGTGGGGAGTGAGGCTCGAGGGGCGGAGAGCGGTGGAGAGGGGTGGGTGAGAGTAGGCGGGGCGAGGGTGCTGGATGGAGTGAGGAGCTTCCGAGCTGCTGAGAGAGCGATGGGCTTTCGAGCGAGAGCCAGGCAGGGAGATATGGGCGTGAGATCTGAACGGGCGGGAGAGGGAGTGGAGGCGTTTCGCGAGGGAGTGGAGAGATTGGGAAGCCAGAGCAGGCGTTTAGGAGCCAACCGCTTCTGCTGCGGCTGCTGCTGATGCTGATGGGGATGATGTTGATGCCGATGCTGATGTTGGTGCTGATGCTGATGAATCTGTTCCTGGTGTTGGCTCGCCTCGTCCTGCTCCACAGGGCGGAGCTGGAACGTTTGAAACTGTTGTGTGGGACGTGAGTGCTGCTGCTGCTGGTGCTGGGGTTGCTGCTGCTGCGGTTGCTGTTGCTGTTGCTGTGGCTGTTGCTGTGGCTGTTGTTGTAACGCGTAAGGTTGGAAGAGCACAGGACCTGCCTGACTCTGCATAGGCTGCTGCTGCTGCTGCTGCTGCGTCTGCAACGGTTGCTGCGGTTGCACCGGCTGCGGCGGCTGTTGTGGCGGGAACGGTTGCTGGCACCGTAGCGGCGCAGTACGGCAGACGAACGGTGAGCTGTCAACCACAGCCGACCACGGAGAACCCACCACCACCGCATTGCCCCCTCCTCCCAGTGGAGATCCAAACACGGGCGACGGCGCAACCCACTGCGCGTGCCCCGCAGGCGACGGCGGAACTGACGGCGCGGAGAGCGGCGACGGCGACCCGCCCACGCGCATCGCCGCGATTCGCCCCAGGATCGGCGTTACTCCGATCTGTGGGGACAGGAGCGGCGCCATTGCTGGCGTCATCGCTGGCGTCATCGCTGGCGTCACAGGGACAGCAATCGCTAAGGGAGACAGCAGCGCAGCGGCGACGCTCGTCGACCCGCACGACCGCACCGGCGTTCCCACCGCGAACCCCGCGTGAGGCCCAGTTCGCGGTCGCAGCGGCGACGCAAACCCGGCGCCGGTCACCGCGGTGCTCATGGCGCCCGCCCTTCCCGGCCGTCCGTTCATCGCGAACACCTTCCGCCGTACGATCCGCCCGCCGCGCGTGTGCACGAGGATCCACGGGTGCGCCAGGAGCTTGTACGCCGGAGGGCGGCGCGAGGGGTCTTTAACTAACAGGCACCGGACGAACAGCTTCGCTTCCACCGACACGCTCTGCCACGCGGGCGAGGAGAAATCCGGCTCGTCGTGACAGATGGAGCGCATGATCTGCGCGTCGTCCTTCCCGCCAAAAGGCGGCGCGCCGCAGAGCAGAATGTAAAGAACCACGCCGAGAGACCACACGTCCGCCGCGAAGTCGTACTCGCTAGAGACAACCTCGGGAGCCATGTATAGCGGCGATCCTGCGATTCCCGAGGCTTTCTCGCCCTTGGCGAGAAGAACCGCGAGCCCGAAATCCGCGAGCTTCACGCTGACTGCTTCTCGCGGCGTCGCAACGCCTTTGGGAGCCGCAGGGACGGAATCCGCACCGGAGACCGCCCCGGAATCCCCGCCGGAACGACCGCTGGAAGACGACGACGACGACGAGGACGACGATGCCGACGCGGAGAGGAGGATATTTTCGGGCTTGACATCCCGATGCATGACGCCTTGCGAGTGGCAATACGCGACGGCCGACACGAGCTGCTTGAACACCCTCGCGGCCTCTTTTTCCGGGAACCTTCCGTGGCGTTCTACCACTTCGTACAGCTCCCCTCCGTCGCAGTAGTCCATGACGAGATGCATGGATTCCGAATCCTCGTGCACGGATTGTAACTGTACGATGCTCTCGTGACCCGACACGCGTTTCATCGCGGCGATCTCGCGTTTCATCTCCACCTCGCCGAACTTGGCGCTGTTCTTGGGGATGCTCTTGCAGGCGAACGTCCTCCGAGTTATCCGATCCTCGACAGCCCAAACCTGTCCAAAATGGCCCTGGCCGATCATTCGCTTCTTGGAGTAACGCTCGTGAAGCGGCGCGGTTAACGTCAGCGACGAATCCGCTGCTGCTGGTGCAGCTAGCGCTGGCGGCGGTGGTGATGCTGCTGCTCCGCATCCTGCTGGTGCTGCTGGTGCTAGTGCTGGTGCGAGGAATGGAGTGGAAACGGGTTTAGGCGGGGAGGACATCAGACGGAGCTCCGGAAATTCCGGAACCGAGACGTTTCGTTTGTGTCGGTTGGTGGAGTACGGGGAGGGAGCGAAGGTGACGAAGTCCGAGAGATCATCGCGAGCCATGGCGGCTGGAAACTGAGGGGATTGGAATCCCCTTGGCTGGAAGCAGTCGCGAGTTGCTGACAGTCCGTCACGCTCAGCTTGCTCGCAGCCGATTCTTGCCGTCATCGTGCGGCTCCCTCTCAACCTCGCAACAAATATTCCCCTCGAGGATGTAGAAGCCTAATCTGCGACGAAGTAAATACGTGGTTTCAAAACGTACTATTTTGTTAGCTGAAGTATGCTGGAAAAGGTAAACAACGACGCGAAGGTTTGGAAAGTGGTCAGCGGACTACGAACGCAGGAATTTGAACTGCAAATCACACTCGCGTAAACTACTGAAAACCAGAACGATCGAATCAGGAATGAGCTGGGCACAGCTCGGCAAGAGTCTGACTTTCTAAAGCTCCGTTGTACCGAAATATGTCTTCCTTTCTGAAGGCTGGCTGGTCAGATATCCATTTTCAGTTGCAATGCTGGATTCAGCTGAACCTCGATAACTGCTCGCTCACTCAACTCATGGAGTGACAGACCACGGTCACCTCATGGCCCATGGCATGGCATGGCCTTCTTGGGTTTGTCTGCCGAACAGGTGGGGGGGAAGGCTGGAGGAAGGGGGGAGAAAGGTTTGCGGGGAGGGGTTGTCGCGGGGGAAGAGAGCTGTACATTGGTGGGAACAAGAGGGATGGGCGGAAGAGGCGGTGACCGCATTGGGAATTCCAGGTGTTGGGGGTTGTCCGGGCCCCGGGGAGAGGGATGGCGGGAGAACAGGTTTGGGTGGGGGAGAATATTGGCGCATAGAGGTTTCATGTGGTGCCTGCAGTACACTTCGCGTGGCATGCGGCTTCGCTTCGGTTTTGCCGAGCTCCAATCAGATTCCTCAGGAAACCTTCAGAAACAGTGCGCCAGGGCTCAGAGACTTCCGCAGAGGTGCTGGGGGCGGGAACGAGATGTAGATGGCATGCGCAGGCGGAACAGTGCTGGTGTTGCCCGGTGCGCAGGTTTTTGGCATTCTGGGGTTGCGAACCAATCCGCACATCCGGATGATACAGAGCCCATCTGGCTCGTCCGCACGCATGCACTCTGACCCGTCTCCTGAAGCGACGGCTCGTTGCGTTGTGCGAAATGTGGGGGAAGCCGCGGGTAATGTTGTTGTACAGAACCCCCCTGGGTCTTCTGGTGCGCATGCGGGGGGACCTCCTTACTGGTCTAGCTGACCATGGTTGTTAGACCCCGGCTGGAGTCGCTGTATTCAAGCTGCGCTCGGCTGAAAGGGCACGATCGGATTGGTTGAGTGGTCAATGGGGCTAACCAGGTGTTGGTTCGGGGGGCAGGCATTCAGTTCAAATGGCAGAGGATCCACGTCTTGGCGCGTTGCTATCTAACACGAAAATGTTCCCGCCAAACCTGAGTCAGAAGGGGCTTCTTATGGATTCAAATGGCACGTCTGATTCAGTAAGGCACCACCGTGCGAATCGCGATGTGTCGGCCGATAACCAATGGTTGCAGCAGTCCAGTGACAGGTCATTTGTTTTGGGCATCGTCCGCGGGAGAGCCAGCGGAAAGGGGAGACTGGGGGATGTCATGGGGGAGGAGAAGCTTGATCTGACGTGACAAGTCTAACCCAATGGGAAACCCTCCAACTATCTTGCGGTAGTGTCGAGGGGCTCCAGGTTTCCTCCCAGCGTCACGGCTTTTCATAATCCAGTCACCTTGGAATATGGGAGTTTGGATAAACAAAAGCACACTGGTCTATGGCATTTCGGAAATATCTTAACTATCCCACATCGGTAGGGATGAGCAACACGACCTTTTAAGAACTGGGTGGTGGAAGTGGAGTCTAGGCAGACCTCAAACATATGGCTGGAATCTCATGAGATACAAATACATCTGTACAATGAGGAAAGAATGGCGTGCGTACAAACATTTTCTGGTTCAACGAAAGCATCCAGAACGTTGCCCCGAGTATTCATTCGCTTTCAGTACTCGCCACGGAAATATGGCGTTTTACCCTGTTAAGTTCGCTTTTTAGAGTGAGTTTTTTCCGACCGCCTTGCGAATACAGGGATTTCCGAAAGCACCGCCTGCCTTTCATTGACGTGGTTTGATAATCTTACTTCAGTTTTAAGTAAAAGCGTTGACCAGCACTGCCATGGCCGAGCAAATTTCAAGAAGCACCCTGCTGAAATCGTTGAAGCTGCATTTTGAAAAGAACGACAGTCACCGAATCACCGACAACTCGAAATCGGCTAAGTGTAAACCAAGAGCGAAGAAATGACAATCAGTTCGCATGTTCTCAGTAGACATTAGTGCAGAGCACCCGAAGTTGGCTATGTTCTGAATACAGCTACCCAGCATATGAAACGTAAGCAAGGACCCTTCATTTTCCTCACATGACCCTCACGAGTGGTAGAAGAGTACGTAAAGGCTTGCGGCTCTTCAGGTGTCGTTTTCTCCTGCAACCCGCTGCCTGCCTTTGTCTGTGGAGGCATTTCTCGACACCACTGACCCTTTGTTTGTAGGTTCACGCAGTGTTCGGTTTGACACTGCTAGTTCCGACTGGGGAAAACAATCCGGTGCGGCAGGCACACTGCAGTGGCGGGGTGAACCTCGTTCGAAACTAGAATTTGACAGGAATACCCGAAACGAATAGAGAATCCCGGTAGATACCCATCCACCGGCGCCGCCTACCCATCCAACCTTTCAGGAGATTATTCGAAAGATTTTTCTCGGAGAATCAGAGACCTGACAGCCAAAGAAGAATCACGGGGATTCTGGAAAAGTAATCTCCGCGATAATTCGTTCATTGCACTGAACATCATCATGCCCATCACGTGGGCCTCCTTGGATGCATGGAGGTTACACCAATCGACGGGTCAAACTTCTGACAAGAAGAAGCAATCTTCCGGATATGCAGCTGGAAAAATGGTGCATCGAGGCTCCACATGAAATCTTGACTCACTTCTACTGTCAACTTTGCAGCGTAATACCCTTTGTGACAAATATCCTCTTCTATGGAGTATGTTCCATCTGCAGTGAATGCACATAGAGTACGATGTTCATAATTGTAAGGAAATTTCCTTTTCCTTACTTCGCGTCCCTGCTTACCGCGTACATGTCCGTTCCCGCCATCGGCACCCATCCATGAACGTTACCCGTTCACGACATTCGCCTCGCCCACGACTCCCGCCACTGTTCACGACGCGACCCAACCTAACGGTTCGGTTGGTAAACCGCGCTCCAGACCTCCGCCTCGACAATTCCCCAACCCTCAGCGCTAGGCCCGTAGCGCACCCCAAATTCCCACATTACCGTTACCACGCTAGTTTCGCTATATAACTTCGCTCATGCCTTTCGCTCAACTGTATTGATTGCTTCGATAGTGCAATTCTCACTCACTCGTTCAATTGCACTCGTAACACTTGGTATTCAGAGCCTACGATCTCTTCTCGGACCGCACCCACACCTTCGCTTCCCCACTATCTCATTTTTTTGGGGGGGGTAGACGTCTCTCAACGAAACAAGCACCGCCGCTCGTAGTGCTCTCTCGTAAGCACGCACGGCCACGACAGAGGCTCTCGCTGAGCTTGCCCGACACCCCCGCCATGGCCGAATTCACCCTCGCGACACTGACGCAGGAGCAACTCGACCGTCTCGTGCACCAAGTCGAAGATTCGGCGCTTGAAATTGCGACTCTCACGGCAGAACGCGACTCCGCTCTTCAGCAATCCACGGCGAATGCTCCAGCGCCACCACACGCACATGCAAATGCACCCGCACAATCGGAGGAACCGATCATCATTTCATCAGGCACACCGACACAAAACGACAGCGTGGGACAGCGCTCAGGCGCAGCCAGTGATGGCGCCGCTCAATCGATGCATGGCATGGAGAGGAACAGGGCCGCGCCAAGCCCGCGGGGACCTCGCGAAGCCCGTCGGCACGTGGAGTTTGCGGCAACAAGTGGCGACCACACCATCATGGCACCAATGCCACTCAAGCCGCAGCGCCCGCCCTGCTTCGACCCGAGCCAGCGTGGAGGTCCGACGGTTCAATCGTGGGTCTTCACGATGAACGTTTTTTTCGACGCGAACTACGTCGAATCGGACGCAGCGAAGATCCGATATGCCGTCTCGCTG